CTTTAGAGGGACAGCTTAGTATTATAATCACTTTTATCAGGTTTAACTGAAGGGTTCGTGTCATCACAAAGTCTTCAGCCTGACAAAAGCAGTGGAGCAAACATCGAATTGCCAAGTTTTCGAGCAATGTCATGGTTTGAACGTAATCTACTCATAAGGCCAGGGCTTTCAAGTTTCCTCTATAACCAATTGCCTTAGCGGAATAGCTCAGTTTTTACAGATTTAATTTCTTAAGATTGTCAAGAAGAACCTGTTATAGCCTAGGTATTTGTTGAAAGTCAAAAATTTCATCTTTAGAGTTCAATTTTCAAGCAAATGACCTAAACTGGATTCACCTACTCGACTTTTTCATTTGTAAAGATCATCATCGTCATTGAAAGTCTTAAATAAAAAACATAGTAATTGTCATATGCAAATGATGCCCCATGTTGTCCGCACCTTATGAAAGGAAAAGGGTATATTGGTTAATTACAAGAGCAGGGTATGGTGTTTGAGGGTATATTTTGGATAAGGTCAAAGTCCCTTTTTTTTAAATCATGTTACTTTGTCAAAGATCCGTAACTTTGAACCATTAACAGAGTTTCTTAATTCAAATGATATTCAAAGAATTGCAAGTTTGCAAATGTGATTTATTGCTCGCCATCATTAAAGCAACATAAATTTATTTAAAAGTCCTTGCAAAAACTTGAGAAAAGAATGAAAAAACAAATCCAAACAGAATGGCTCAAATGATAAGATGATATGCCTCACTTTGATGCCCCCAAGTTGTGGAAGTCGATCCGATTCTTGTTACGTATTTTCTGTATGATTCTCTTGATGGTGGAGTAATTCTCGATAGTGCACCCTGGGACTCCGCTATGATTTTCGCAATGAGCGTTCTCATCATACTACCTGGGGTACGGGGCTTTATGGACACCACGTGTGCATCAAACAACTGTTGGTAAAGCTCCTTATATGTCATAGGATTGGAATGTTCTCATTTTTGATGAGACATGTGAATGTAATGAAAAAAGGGAATCATAATGCGAATGTAAAGAAAAAATAACAAAATGCACAATATGTCTGAATGTATGATGCATGAAATGTTCGAGGCATTGATCCGAAAAATGTGCCTATTATTCTGAATAATCCTTATTGGGGACAAAAATGTTACTTCTGAAGAGACAAAAAACTTTTTTGATGGTATAGATCCTGCACAGCCTCTGGAAAGTTGATTCGTCTTCCGCTTTTTCACCAGTTGAATATCTTGTCGAACCATTCCAGTTCCTTTAGCTAAACTTGTGCGGGTAACGAGTTGCTTGCCCCAAAAAAGGTCTCGAATGACTGCATCTCCGGCCTTCGCTCTATGCCGTCCAAACGAAAGTGCCATTGGAGCCCTCAATCCGAAGTTTGTCGACCTGTTCTTGGAATTAATCAATAATGGTCTCCGGCTTAGTTAGGGTTTCACCATCTTGTTCTTGTAATTTTCGAAAGGACTCTCCGGGTCAGTAATCATTTCCTCGTCTTGCCCCTGCAACTTTTGCCTCTGAGTATTCTTTGATCACGGTTGGACTTATGAGCTTTTTATCTCTTTGTATTATAACCCCTTTGCCCATTAATGTAGATTATTTACGTTTAACAAACACATTTTTGGTGGATCAATACCTCATTTTAATGATGCGAATGATAAAAAAATGCCAAAGAATAAAAATGAAATGAGGAAAAAAAAAGAGTTAGTGAGATAATGATGATAAAAAAATGATAAAAATGAAAAGTCTTACCCCACATGATATCTACACCACATGCTTATTATTCCTACCCGGACATGATCTCTATCCCGCAAGTTGATTTTGAACAAGTCCTAACCGCATAAATTTCTAGTTCACATGCTTTGAACAGAAAGTAATGCAGGAAATAATTCCGGCATCCTAGGGTTTGAAATGAGGTTTTGGGGTGGGCTCTAATTCCCTGCACTCTCCTGGTTTAGGTTCTAAAAAGGTACTCGAGTTCTCCTTGCCGGTGCCCCCTTGGGCTTGCCAGACCCTTAGTCCTAAGCCCATCACAGGCTTGTGTGGACTAAGTTAAACTCGAGAGGACACATTCCCTTATGCCCATACGGAGAATAAATTCACACGAAGGCATAAGGTATATGAATCCCGAAGGTTACTTGCTAGGCCCATACGGAGAATAAATTCCCACGAAGGCGTCGCTTTCGCCCCCACTTAAAAAAGGTTCGGAGCTCGGGTATAGAGCTAGAGATGCAAATTTTGAAAAATATCTGAAATCATTAAAAAACGTTAGTACAACTATTTATTTGAAAAAAATAATCAAAGATAAATAATAAGAATCGAATAAATAAATTAAATTTTAAACTTGTAATTTTCGCTAAAAAAAACAACCGAAAATTAATTTCGGCCTGACTCACTTACTTTTCCCCAGTGGAGTCGCCAAGCTATCGGACCCGTCTTTCGGGTGGGCCCCGGAATTGGGCTTCAACTTGAAAAATGTGGATTATAGTCGCCACCGACCACTTTAAAACGAATTTAGGTGGGTCGGACACCATCTTACCTGATCTGCGTTGTACCAGAAACGTGTCAGGTTCGGGAGTCGATTACGGTCAAGGAAGGATTAGCACCCTTGAACCGCCCTTTCGGTACCGATTAATTTTCCGGTTGTCGTTATAGCGAAAAATAGAAAATTTAAATTTAAATTTAAATTACTCGATTCGAATTACTCACCTTTGATCAATTGAAATTTCTCTACAAAGTCAAAAATGTTAGGGGAAAGAAAAAGAAAAAAGTAAATATTGAATAAATAAAAGGAAGGAAAAAAAATAATACAAATGCTAGATTTTAAAAGTGATAAATTAAAAATAAGAAAAGGAATAAAAATACACTAAAACTAAGGTAAAAATGAATAATTAAAAAAATGCTAAAATTAAAAAGGAAAAAAAATTCGAGGACTAAATTATAACAAATTAAAATGGATGGGTTAACCAGGTACTAAAAATAAACTGCAAAATAAAAAAAGTAAGGGGGCCAAATTGCAAAACAATGTAAATTAAAAGTAGGGACTGAATTGATTAAATCAAAAATTCAGAGGTCAAATTGCATACGGTGACCAGATTGTAAAGCGATTCAAACATCCAGGGACTGCGGAGAGAATTAAAAAAAACTTCTAATTGCAAGGAGGCCCCTGGTATATAAATATGAAAACTCTCCCTTTTGAATTCATTTTCAGCATTTGCAGAAAAACAATCTCTCTAAACGAGAGATAACTCTCTCAGTCAGCCCTCTTGGCCGAACCCCCGCCACCGTTCAGCGCCGCCTCCGGCCGTCGGCCTTGGCAGCCGGAAAATACCAAAACCTTTACCAAATGACCCCCATGTCCCGCTCAAACCGAAATCGAACCCCGATTCACCACAACCAAAGCCGAATCGCGTAGATCTACAAAACAAAACTCGGCCTTTACCTTTTTCCAGCGAGACCTTTCACTTTCCCGGCATGTTTACTTCCCGCTTTGCTCGGCTCTCGATCTTTTTTTGTGTTCTTGTGTTCTTGTGTGTTTTGTTTCGGTTTTTTGGTTGATGTGGTGGGTTTTGCTCACTGTTGTATGTGGTTTTTTGTTTCGATGGTGGCTTGTTTCGTGGTTTGTTGTGATGTGGCCTCTTAGTTCTCGGTTTTTTTGTTTGCTATGTACTGTTTGCGATCCTGTGGCTCGCCTTGGTTTACTGTTGTCTCTCGGTTTCAATGGTTCCGATTGTTCTGCGTAGCCTCCGATGTTTGCTTGAAGTTGTTGTTCTGTTGATGTTCGGTATTGTGGATTCTCTGTCTCGGTTTACTGTTTCTATTGATGATCTTTGTTCTCTGTTTGGGTCTTGATGATGTCCTCTCCCTTCGTCGTGGGTACTGTTGTGTATTTATACAGTCCCGATGGGGGCTGTTTCCGGCTATCTTGGGGTCGATCCCGAATTTTCCGGGGTTCTTGTTACGGGCTGTTGTGATCCCTTGTTCCCCGCCGGCCGCCTCGGGATGGTTCAGTCCCGTTGGTGGCCGGGAAGTGCGCTGGGCACTGACTGTGTCGCTCCCTTCCTTGCGGCGCTGATGACAAACATTGGAAACCCTAGTGTGGAATCCGGGTTGGGTCAGGCCCGTTCGGTGGACTATTTGGATTTGGACCATGGACTGAAAAAAACAAAGAAATAAATTAGAAAGAATAATAATAATAATAAATGTTCAAAAGCACATAATATATAAATTAAAAAAATATTTTTTTTAAAACTATATATTATACGTATTTTCAAAAACGTTTCAAAAAACTATATAATATATGTATTTTTTAAAATGTTTTAAAAGTTATATATTATATATATTTTCAAAAATATTTTTTTTAAAAAAAAAACCATATAACATATAAATGTTTTCAAAATGTTTTCAAAACTATATATTATATAAATTTTCAAAAATGTTTTCAAAATTATATATTATATAAGATTTCAAAAATGATTTTAAAAATTATATATTATCTATATTTTCTAAAACGTTTATTTTATAAAAACTGTATATTATATAGTTTTCAAAAAATGTTTTAAAAACTATATATTATATACGTATTTTCAAAGATCGTTTGCAAACTATATAATATATATATATGTATAAAATAAATAAATAAAAAGATATGGATGAAAATCAGTGTCCACAGTAGTGTCGGTGATTATAGTGGTTTTTCCATGGCTTTGGAAGGGGTTTTGATTGCTTATTTGTATTCTAATTTTATTGTTATTGATATTGTCGTGAGTTCCATGTTCTTCAAGATCTGCAAAACTAAGTGTTTTTACAAGATTGAGATTGTTGCATAGAGAGATGGGAATGAGTATGTGAAGTTGAAGAATTTCCATAGATAGAGATAACCAAAGACTTGAATTCCGAAGCGAAAAGATGAACAAAAGTATGCATATGTAAATTTAAACAAACAACATTCATTTTATAAAAAACCAAAAAAAAATATGAAGGTTTGATGGATTTATTGAGAACGCGAGCTGAGTTCTTCAATTAGGGCATTCAAATCAGAGTGAGAAGACCCTCCTTTTTTATTAGCTTTTTTTGCTGCTTCAGCAAGTGCTTTGGCTCTGTTTCTCATTTCATCTGCTTTATCACCCTTCATCAACTCCTTCACTGCCTTTTCAATGGCTTCCATTTTCACAAAATCTTCCACTAGTCTCGCCCATTTCTGAGCACCAACATCAACTCCAATCTTCAAGACTTGAGTCACCAACTTTTCATTGAAAAACTGCTCTGCAAATGTTGGCCAGGTCGAACTCCATCCACAATGAGTCACGAATCCCCCCACTGCTTCATGATCAAGAATCAACACTTGGGGTGCCCATCCTCTTATTATAAGTCCTTTGCCTTCCCTTCTCTTCTCAAATCCTTCCGGCAACCACTCATTGTCTTCCTCATCTTTCTTTTGTTTACTCACAACCCAAATGAATTGCAAGTCTAATGCCTCAAGGGCCATGACGATCTCCTTTAATTGGGCAGAGGTGAAGCAGGTCATACTCCCAAAACATATGTAAAGAACTGAGTTGGGTTCTTTCGAGTCAAGCCACTTCAAACACTCGTGTTCATCAATGGCTGATTTCTTTCCCCTCTCAGCTTTATATATGTCTTCCCTAATGCAGAGCGAAAGAGGGCCGATATGCCAGGCCTTTTTCCCCAATACATTCTTGTAGAAATCAGCATACGCTGCCTCGAGCTCGTAAAAACTGTTGACTACTACGCCGTAGCTTTTTAACTCAGCTTCCTTGGCTGCTTTCATTCTCTTGGTAAAATCAGTTTCAGCATCTTGTCTAATGTAACCCGGTAGTCGGTTTTTTGTTAACTCGATGTTGCCGGGGTTAGGCACCACAAAAGGTTCGGCATCTGACTGAACATTCTTGTGTGGCTGGTATAGCCGTATGCACTCCGATGCGCACAATGGAAAGTAGCCAGTTCCATGAAACACTAACCTGGGGATCCACCGTTGACGGGAAGGTTAGGCCGTATTCCTAGCTTCTCTCAATTGTGCGGAAGAATAAAGAAGCATTGACGGGCGTGGTGACTATTGTTGTCTTTACTCCTTCACTTGAAAACAGCTTGGCCATATCCACCGTTGGAATAACGTGACCGGGAGCCAAGTATGGAAGGAAGAACATATGAATTTCTCTTCTCATTTTCCCAGGGAGAAGAAAATATTTTTAATTTCTTTAGACTTGGAAGTGAAAATATTTTAATTTCTCTTGTGACCTATTGAACCATATTGCAAACTTAGACATAACACATTTGATCAAAACATAGGGTATAAGTTAGTTAAGCCATAGTTGGTTAACAAGTTAAAGTTGTACACGAAAGCTAATTAGTCTGTGATGCAATTGGTTAATTAGATGAGATTATAAATGTAAGGTAAAGTGGAGAAGAAATTAAAAGAAAAGGATGAAATGTGTGAAATTAATTAATCTTATAGAGGATGAAAATGTTTTAAGGGTTTCTCGAAGCTTAAGACATTCAAAAATATGAAATATGGTACTAAGTATTGAAACTTGTAAGTGAAATTTTGAAACTTTCATTCTAGTATATTTGGTAGTTTCAAAATTTTACCCTAAGTTTTAAAACTCAAATGATGGATTTCGAAAAGAAGTTTTCAAACTTAGAGATCCAATTTGATTAAATTGCATTTTCACCCTTTGGAATGAAATGTAATGCTATGAAGTTCATATCTTTGATAGGTTTGATAATTTAGTTCCTAAGTGAGTTTAATGATTGTCTAATCATCCAATTTAATTCTGATTTGAATCTAACTAGGTTTCAATCAATTTATGACTAAATTAGGTTAAGGGTGTTACGGTCTCATATTATCCAATCAGAATCTATGGTAATTGAATTTGATTTAACCTATGAAGAAAAACCGGTCTGTATTCTAGCTGGTGAAGTATTTTAAGGATCATTTTATTAATATTAAGTATTGAGAATTGTGACTATTCATTTAAGCTTCGGTTTCTCCTTGCTCGACCCCTTTTCTTTGTTTTGTAGGCCACCTTTTATAACCTACCGAAGATCTTTTGCCAAGTGAAGGGATGCGAAAATCCCCTCAAATTGGGTTCCAATCAAAGCGATTTAATCTCTTTTGCTTCGTTTTTATGAGAAAAAAGAAATATCTTTTTGAAAGGTTCTTTTCAAAAACTTGAAGAGTTGATGGGGATTTCTTAGCATGAAAGGTCTTCGGCTGTGAGGAGTATCACCGGAGTTCGATGATCGACACGTGGGCCCGTGAAAGTGCTCAATGATCTGCGCGTATCGTGCACGCGCCCAACTAGCTAAGCAACATCCCCTGATGGCGGTGGTTGAAACCTTCTATGTTAGGGTTTTCTTCTTTTCCTAATATTGTGGGCTGTTTGGATTTCCTTGTAAACGAGTTATGGAGTTGACATTATTTTGGGTTTTGAAATAACGTGACCTACAAAAATAAAATAGTATTTATTAATAAAACCCTCCTTTATTTCGATATATATTAATATATTTATAGTACTCTATAATAATACTAATATATATATATAGAATAATACGAAATAGATTCTGAACCAAAATGAATATCTACACAAAATAACAACAAAAGGGAAAAAAAACTGTCGATAAAGGAGGCTCATCATACTCTGAAATGGATGCTCTCATGGGAGAACTCACCTCGTGTTACCATACCCAAAAGGAGATGGTTCACCAACTTCTTGCATGGTTGGGTTTAACGTACGGGTTCATATGATATATTAAATCATTTCAATTTTTTAGAATCAATATTAAATTTAATGGATAAATTATATCATTAATCACTTTTGTGTAAGTTTTATATACTCTTACTCACTAAATTCAAAAAATATAATATTTGGTCATTTTATATACTCTTACTCACTAAATCAAAAGGAATCAAGGAAACAAGCTTGTTTTAGAGATTCACAAGTGATTTCAATAACCTCTCCTTTCTTTATTTCTGCATTTCAATTCGGTTTCAGTAACTGGAACTCTTCGATTCTCCTCTTAATAATCCAAAAAAAAAAAAAGCAATTAAATTTCATTCAATTTATCCATCACAGAAACAAGGAACTGTGAAGGATGACATATGATTAGCTGAATTCTATTTGCGAAATCAAAAAGCTCCATCACGTAATTTAAATAATAACTCCATTTTCAACCTCCAGTGAGGAAAACAAAATTTCATTCGAATATTAGTGACTATTTGTATTATTTTTAATTTTTTATATTCGTTGTGTCACGTCAACAATCCTTTAAAAGTCTAACGACAAATAACTTTTAGTAATCACATCTTAATTAAATGAAAATAAAAATGACCAAATATTATTTTATTTAAATACAATGAGGAAAAACGTACAAAACTTAAATGTAAGTGATCAATATTGTAGTTTACCCTTATATAATTTATAGTTATGGGTTAAATTTATTAAATTATTTAAAAGTAAAATCAAATTAAGATAATGTATATATTAAAAAGTAGAGTAAGCATTTAATAATAAATAACTTACCCAATATATTATTTCAAATCAAGATATGACTCTAAATACTTACTACAATATTAACACGCTGTGATTAAAAGATAATATTTATTCTAAAAATTCTCAACTATTTGACAATAAAAATTCAAACACCCTTGCAGTCTGTGATGCTCGAACATAAAATCTCTTAAATAATAATCATACCTTTAACCACTTATATAATTTGATTCTCACACTCTATGCATAAATATATTAAACCCGAAGAGAACTCCCAAACATATAAAATAACAATAGTAGATTTGTTTGCAATGATTTCTCCTATTATATTTATATTTTAACATTTAAATATTAACAAGTATTAAGAACTTAGTTTAATCTCAAATTTGAAGTAATAATCTTTGAATCCTCAAATCTATTCAAATTTAATAAAAAATATATCCCAACAAATAATACAAAAGAAAATATGACAATCTGACTAGTGAATCCAAAGTTATAAACATAAACACATTTGTATATTGCAAAAAGAATTTGAATAATCGGTTGAAGATTAAGCTTATGATCAACCAATCATCTGCAGATTCAAACATCATGTAAACCTTTCACGTTTTGTCTTCAGGGCAGCTTTAACAACATTTCCCCTTGTAATGATTCCTACCTTTGAGATCCAATCACAAATCCACCATAAATCATCCAATACAAAACATTGAAACAACATTTTCATATAAAATTCTTACCAGTTTACCCTCGCCATCCACAACTGGAAGTTGATAATACTTGGTTTCCAGCAACAATCTGATTCAAAATTTCCAGATTAACAACATAGTTTCCCTTAAGAATTTAGTCCATATACTTTGATTTATATAGAAAATCAAAAATGTAAATCACAATATGATTCAACCTCACATATGTAGAAACTTCAATAGGATCTTGATAATTATAAAATTATAAAATGATCATTAAATTTGACGTTCCGATAACAGAAACAAATGCATTCAAGAGGCAGACAGTATGTGATACCTTGCAGCATCTTCCATGTTTGTTGTTTCAGGAAGACCAAGTGGTGAAGGTGTCATCAAGTCTCCAACAACCCTTCCATTATGTTTGCTCATCAATTTCTGTGTTTCATTGAATGTCTGCAATAATTACCCAGAAATCAGGCATTACAATGGAATTTCCATAGCACACTCAAACACCAAGGAAAATCAACTGAAACCGGAGAACCAAAGAATTAGAAATAAATAACCCTTACTTTCCAAGAGCTATCAACATCAGGGAACATGGTTGTCTCCTCTTGACCACTACCTGAAATAGAGTCCAGTGCCAACAAATCATAATCTGACACAATACCAACCTGCAATACAAGTCGGTATTATAATTAATTGAGTTTGAAAATAATACAAAACCACCATCTTATAAGAAGTAAAACAAATGAATGAGTTTACGAGTTTCCAGTCATCATCCACCACAGGGAAACCAGTAACTTTCTTCTCCACAACTGCCTTCAATGCTGCAATTACAGAATTCAGTACAAACTTAAACCCAAACAATAATAATAATAATAACAACATGATATGATCTGTAATGCCATCATCAACACTTGTAGTAGTAGTTAGAACATGTAAATCCTCTTTCCTGGTCATAAAATCAGTGACAGGCGGATAATTTCCGTTTCTTGACTATAAAAAATCCAAAAATAGTGAAAACCATGTAAAAGTACAATTTTTTTAAAAAGAGAGAGAGAGAGAGAGAGAGAAAAGAAAGGAGGGTTACTGGAGCTGCTGAGTCGGATATGAGTCCGGAAGCAAGGCGAGAAGAGTTTCTCTTGGGGAGAGACAAAGAAGAAGGAAGTGCTTTATTAGAATGGTGGTGCGATGAGACAATGCCGGGTTTCTTCGAATGACGAAAAGAAGAGTGGACAGAAGCAAATGGTTTGAGGGCTTGATGATTGAAAAAAGATATTAGATATGGAACTCATGTTTGTGAAAGCAGATTAATAAAGAAGTAAGAACCCAAAAGAAAAGGTACGAGGAAGGATTTGTGTTTGTTTTACGACAAGATTATTGATTTGCGGGCGAAGAAAAAAGGGAGCTTTGGGTTGAATAAATATGGAGAAACTGACACCTTGAAAGAATAAAATTGAAGCAAATTTTGCTTCCACGGCGAGTTTGGAGTTTAGACTTTGACCCCAAATCTAAAACTGGAATTATTTAAACAAAATGACAATGCGAGCAAGTTAAACCATACTTTTCTTTTGGTACAAGTAAACAATACTTTTAAATAGTTAGATTTAGTTAATTCTAATTTAAATTAATAATAAAATATTAATAATTTAAATATTTTTAGTTATATTTAAAAAACAATTTAAATTTAAAAGAATAAGAATTCAAATATTAAATTTGAATAAAAAATTCAAGATGATTTGTTTATGAAATTTAACTTAAAACGATTTGAATGTAAATATAAATAATGTGAATAAGAATTTATTATAGCATTGGTTGATGTAAAACATTTGGGCTTTGGTATTACGTGGTCAGCTTCGGCTTCTGAATTTTCACATGGTTTGGGCTTTCCTTGTCGAAAGTTCGAGCCATACATCTGATTAGTCCGATACAAATTTTGTACTCTACTTCCGTCTTTCTCTTAATCAAATAAGACATAATGTTTAAATTTATTTTTAATATTTAACTAAATAATATTTTTAAACTATTTAAGTTTTTAATATTTTAATTTAAATTAAAATGATCTCTAACTATATAGATATTATCAAACATTTTATTGTTGATATAATATATATTATATACCTAAAGTGATAATATGATATTATTACATATATATATATATATATATATATATATAAGTGATGACGTAAAAATGTCATGTCATCACTTTAGACGCATGAGTAGGAGTGCTTAATGAGTTGAACAGTTCGTGAGCAGCTCGAACTCGACACGGTCAAAACTTGACCAAAGCTTGACTCATGTTGATCGACTTGAGCTCGAGCTCGACTCGAGACCTTAATGAGTTGAGTCGAGCAAAGTCCAACTCGACTTAATAAATTCGCGAGCAGCTCATTCATTTTTTTTATAATTTTTAGTGATTATCTTAAAAAATTATTCCATAAAAATTAATAATTTACTAATAGATAATAAAAAGATAATAAATTACTAATCTAATAATTTTCTAATAAACAAAAAAATACTAAATTTTTAATTAATAATTATTATTTTATTACACCTAAAAATTAAATCATAATTATTATTTTAATGCATTTGTGTATTGTTTCTTTGAAGTTTAGACTTTGAAGTGTTTCATGCTCTCTTATGATAATATTTTGATAAAATTTATTAATTTATGTTTATAAAAGCTCTATATAGTTTTAGTAGATTTTAACTATGGTTAAAAAAATAAGGTAAAAATTTCGGTGAGTTTAGCGAACAATGAGACGACCAACGAGCAATGAGCTTAACGAGCAACGAGTTTTTTTTAACGAGCACAAGTGGCGCAAAACTTTAATGAGCTTAACAAGCAATGAGTCGAGTCGAGCAACAAAAAATTTTAACGAGCATGAGTCCAATTCTGCCCAACTCGCGATCGACTCGCTCAATAAACACCCCTACGCATGACATGTATCACGTTATCACTTTATACATATAACATATCATTTATGTATATGATTGAACGTTGGACAAAATCTCCTCTAGGCGTTATAAAAATCAATGTCAATGGTCGACGTCTAGTACTCCTGCTATTGATATTGATGAACACATGTTAGCGTTCATCAATCTTGTTTTTCTAATTTAAGGACCTCATGATGCCGAGATTGTGGAGGCTCACGCTATATGTTGTGGAGGCTCACGCTATATGTTGTGGAGTCCGCCTAGCCGTTGAGTTTGACTATTTTCTGTTAGAATATTAGAATGTTAATACAATTAGTTAGTATTTGTTATTCTGTTAGGATTTTAGTTAGTTGATTAGCATATTATTAGCGGGCTCTATAAGCCTAGCAATGTAGTGGATTAAATCAAGCATGTTCTGTAATTCATTTTCACATTTAGTAAAACAAAGCCACCTCTTTCACAGTTTCCCATCTTCATTGTTGATGTTTATATTCATCACCACAGGTAACCTCTAGCCACCATGGCACCTTTCTCACATGGTATCAGAGTCAATGATCCTGATGTTGTTATCTCCACTACCTACGTGGGTTATCTCTTTAATCCGTGTATGCCGCTATTTTCTTCCTCACGACATTTATATGTGTCGACGATTGATGATTCCAGTGATTCTGATGTCGCTTCCCTTGTCGACGATTGGCTTCAACAGTTGCAAGTTCATTTACGTGTCCGATTCCTTTACATGTCGTTGTAGCTCCATTGGTTGTTGCTAAAACATTGATCGTTTCCCATTCAACAATAGATCTAGTGAACCTTTATCATTTTTCCACTAGCACAGATTCTAGCGTGTTATCAATGTTTCACTGTCAGTTTGTAGATCTCCAATAACTCACAGTGAGAGATTGTGTCAGTTTTTCACATGATTTGTTGTTTCATTTTCCCTCTTATTGATTATGCACTGGTTTGATGAAATTTCCATCATTTTTGCACAAGATTATGTAATTTTGCTTGTGAATATTGTTATCTTGTGCACGAGTGAGGTCAAGTGTGATTTCTTCTACTGGTATGATTTCCTGCTTTGTTGGAGTTGAGAGTGGTTCTTTTTGTTCATCTTTTTTTGTACTTTAGTAGCATCTTAGACTTCTATTTCTCAGCAACATCTTGGTTTGGAACTTGTAAAACAAGATTGGTGATTGATAATCTGTTTTGATGATTCATTTTCTACATTTAGAGTATAAGATTGATTCATATATGGGTTCATGCCTTTGTTTGTACCTCCCATCTGCTTGATTGTTTTCTCCAAAGAGATGCTTTGCTTCTCCCTCGGTTATATCCCATCTTGGTCCATCTTGGGACTCTGAGACGCTTAGAATGAAGCTTCCAATGATTCAAGAGGCTCGTCTATTTGTCTTGGTTGTTTACATAATTTCCCCCCAATTAAGCAACAATTTCCGATGGTATAATATTCTTGTTGATTGGTGATAGTGTGCATGCTTGTTACTGGAAGTCAGTGTTGATTGTTGATTGGGGCATTTTGAAAGTCTTGAGTTGCTGATCCAAGTTTTTTCACACTGGTCACTGTTGAATCATTGGTTTCAGTGATTGATTATGGTTGTTGATTTAGATTTTTCATTTTATGGTTTGCATTACTGGTTTGTTTGCTCAAGTACTCTTTGTTTTAGATTTTTCATGATATGTTGCTTCTATACAAGGTAACATGAGATTTGATAGTTTCACAATCAAATGTTCATGACAGAAAAACTTTGGGGAGGGTTAAGAGTTTAACAGCCTTGACTTCCTTAACCAGACAAAATACTGTGTTTTCTTGCCCAAGAGAGGCTTCAGATTTCACTCGGGAGCTCGTAGCTTAACCACCTTGCTTCCACCAAAAAAAGAAAGTCTGAATAAGTGAGAAGAAGACCAGTTTTGATTCATAAAGAAATTTCAAATGAAAGAAGAAAAAAGAAATAAAGGTGAATAAGAAGAACGAAAGGAAGCATAGCACTTTCGATTCAAGTTGAACGAAATGAGGCAGAGCACTTTCGATTCAAGTTGAACGAAAGAAAGCAAAGCATTTTCGATTCTCGTATAAAGTAGAACAGAAGGAAGCATCACACTTTCGATTCAAGTTGAACAGAAGGAAGCATTGCACTTTCGATTCAAGTAGAACGGAAGGAAGTATCACACTTTCGATTCAAGTCGAACGGAAGAAAGCATTGCACTTTAGATTCAATTGTTCATCTTTTCATCAAGAATGTTGAAGAAGTCGGATGAAGGTTAGAATATTAGAATGTTAATACAATTGGTTAGTATTTGTTATTCTATTAGGATTTTAGTTAGTTGGTTAGCATATTATTAGTGGGCTATCTAAGCCTAGCAATATAGTGGATTAAATAAGCATTTTTTGTAATTCATTTTCACATTTTGTAAAACAAAGCCGCCTCTTTCACAATTTCTCATCTTCATTGCTGTCGATTACATTCATCACCACTGGTAATCTTCGACCACCATGGCACCTTTCTCACATTTTCACATCATACTTGATAGCTATTCCACCAACATCGTTCAACAGTTACAGTATCATATCGTTGATCTCTCGGTTTTACCTTACTAAAGTTAGAGCGATGTTGGATGCTCACCCGCCATATCCGTTTTTAATCTGTCCGGCGTACAGCTAGAATATACATCTATGGACTCCTCTTTTCACTATAATTATTTGTCTTGTATTAACAATGTTGTTACAAAATCTATGGTTAATGATTACAAGTTTACCTTTAACAAAAGTAACCGCAGGTTTCAATTTAATATACATTAACATTGGATGCTAAATTGATTTTTTTATTACGCTAAAGGACTATTTTTTTCTTTTTAAGCATTAATTCAAAATCGAGATTAAAGTACATAATTAAGAATAAAACAAATTCAAGTGAATCAATGTATATAGATAAAAATAGATTAATTGAATGATTATAATAGTAAAAGAAGATGTTATTTTTCTTTAAAATTCTAAATCTAAATAATTATATCTATAAAATATATGTATATCATCAATAATTTAAAAAATAAACTGATGTTATATTACAATAACCTCGAATTATAATATATAAATACAAATATATATAAATAAAATTATACTCGAATAATCAACTTTATATACAAGTAAAACCGAAGCGAGGCAAGTGTGTGGATGCGCGACTCCGTACGATGACACACGCGTCGCTTGCTGCAGTTGATCCACCCCCAGGAATCCACTGTCAACAGTTTTATTTTGTTTCTTTTTTACATTCTTATTTGGGAGCCGATAGCAAGCTGTCCAAAATCTAATCCAACGGCAGAGATCTCCTCCTCCTCCTCCTATCCATCTTAGGGTTTAATTAAAAAAAGAGAAAATCGCCTCAGTGACCAAAAAAAAGTTATAATATACGATTTTAACCAACTTTTTTTGGATTTGCCAAAATGACCAACAAAATCGCAACGCGAAATAAAAATCGCAACGCGATCCCCAGAATCGCAAATCAGTTTCCAAAATCGCAACGCGATTCTTGAAAATCGCAATGCGATAGTCAAATTCGCATTGCGATTTTCCAAAATCGCAACGCGAATATGAAAATCGCAACGCGAACACATAAATCGCAACGCGTATCCGTAAATCGCAACGTGTATCCGTAAATCGCAACGCGTATGGGTAAATCGCAATGTGTATCCGTATATCGCAACGCGTATCGGTAAATCGCAACGATAATACATAAAATCGCAACGCGTATCCGTGAATCGCAACGCGATATTTAAAGCGCCATTATAATCGCTACGCGTATTTTATTTTCAAATTACAAAAACGAATATTAAGACAAAATCCCGTAATCGCAACTCATAACCTAAAACCTAAAATCACAACTCAGTCCCATCTCCATCTCTCACTCTCTACGGCGAAGAAATCCGTCCCCATCTCCGAAGATTTCCGTCCCCATCTCCGGCGAAATCCCTCACAACCATTCACGGTCAGAAATCCCTCACAATATTCAGAAATGGAAAATCAACCTCCGAGGGTTAGTTTTTTTAATTATTTTTATTTTGAAATGTTTGCATTATTGTAGGTTTTTCATATTGAAACTGATGATAAGTTTACTGGTCATTTCAATAATAGATTAACCATTTCACTTAGATTTCATTTCGCGTTACGATTCTCTCGTTGCGATTTTCATTTCGCGTTGCTATTCTCTCGTTGCGATTTTCAAGTTAGTATTTGTCTTTGTCTTTGTTCTGTCTTTTGGTTGAAGTAATGCAATCCATTCAAGTTTCAATTTGCAAAAGAGTCGCAACGAGATAAATGAAAATCGCAACGAGAGAATGACTGTCGCAACGAGAGAAATGAAAATCGCAACGAGAGAATCGCAAAGCGATATGAAAATCGCAACGAGAGAATCGCAACGCGAAACCAAAATCGCATTGCGATTTTCATTTCGCGTTGCGATTCTCTCGTTGCGATTTTCATTTCGCGTTGCGATTCTCTCGTTGCGATTGTCATTTCGCGTTGCGATTCTCTCGTTGCGATTTTCATTTCAACCAAAAGACAAAACAGTGTTGCAAATTTTAGTTTCAAGAATAAACTACTACTTTTTATGTTTATTGTTTTTGGTATATCTTCACAGTGTAGTTTTTGGTATATCTAACTTGGTATGTTTATGTTTTTGTAGAAATTTTTTTCGGCTCAATTGACCTTGAGAAATAAAGTCAGCATGGCCACTACAATTGCTTCGAAGCTTTCACCTGCTCAAAGACAATTGTTTGAGGAAACCTGCTTCGGGCCATGGCTGAGAGTACAGCATCCGGGTGGAGATGCTAATTTGACCCATTTGTGGCTTCAGACCATGACATCAAATCTACCCGACAGTATACAACGTGGTGAGGAAGAGATATGGTTTCATTTTCCACCAGCGTATACTTGTTTTGGGCGGAAGGAGTTCTGCTTAATCACTGGTCTACGATTCGGACACGATGATGTAGGCCGGTACACTCGTCATATCGCCCGCCCATCATGGTTATCCCGGGTTTTTCCGGATGAGTAAATGGAGAAGCCGAACCTACATGTCGACGACCTGAAGAAATTGTTTAATAAGAAAGCTGGTTTCACTCGGATAGATGACGTCGATGTTGTCCGAGTATGCCTTCTACTACTTGTGTATGCCGGCTTTTTAGGCAGAGAGGCCAGACAACCTATTCATCGGGAGCTAATAATATTGGTAGAGGACCTGAATGCATGGAATCTGTTTCCGTGGGGTTCGTATATGGAAAGCTACCTGGACTAAGTTGTCGTCTGCCTTTGATGACCGCAAAAGTTTGCGGGGCGATGGGTCCAAATACACTTTGTCAGGCTTTGTTTGGGCCTTTAAGGTAAGAATTTCTATATAATGTTTATAAAATTATAATTAATTATTTAACAATTACTAATTTTGTTATTATATTGTTTGTAGATTTGGATATTCGAGGCTTTCCCCAGCATGCGTACATATGCAATAAAAACGTCAAATGATATTCCCAGGGCTATTTCCTGGAAGAGGAAAACTCTGTTGGATTGGGAAGACTTAATACCATATGCGACAATAAATAATGTAAGTTAACACAAATACTTTCATATAATATATAACAAGTTATTAATAGTAGACGTTTAACTTTGTTTGAGTTTTTATTTTAGGAGGCCAACATTCCATTACAAAGACTGACACCCACGGAGGAAGAGCTTGCCACTGATTGGTGGCAAGCTAGTCAGAGTTTTTTTGATGGCATGGATGATGAGCAGCATCCACTTCCTCCAATTCGAGAGCCATCACCTCACCTAGAGCCATCACCCGATCGACCCGACTATACACCTCTAGAACGAGAGCTATCACCTATCCCGTCACATCATCGAGCCTCTTCTCCACCATCACCTCATGATAGGCGACCGGAAAAGATGCCACGACTCCTATCTCCCTGTTCTCCACCTCCACCTCAACGGGATGAGTCAAGGGAGTTACGTGATGAGGTCAATGCCTTGCGTGAGGAGATCGGTACTCTACGCGATAACGATGGTGCATGGCGTGTGGAGGTGTCAACTTTACGTGGTGAGGTTGCCGCTCTACGTGAGATGATAGTATCGTTGCAGAATGAGGTTCATACTCTACGCAACGAGGTAAGTTTAAGATTTTCCATATTTAACTTAATGATAAATTTACTCGTAATTTCACTTAGATTAGCCATTTCACTTAGATTGCTTAGTAAATTTATTCGGTTGCTGCCAATTCTGCTAAACTGTGTATTCTTTAACACTGTGAAATAGTATTTGTCTTTGTTTTGTCTTTTGGTTGAAAGTAAATTTGTTCGGTTGCTGTCAATTCTGCTAAACTGTGTATTCTTTAACACTGTGAAATAGTATTTGTCTTTGTTTTGTCTTTTGGTTGAAAGTAAATTTGTTCGGTTGCTGCCAATTCTGCTAAACTGTGTATTCTTTAACACTGTGAAATAGTATTTGTCTTTGTTTTGTCTTTTGGTTGAAAGTAAATTTGTTCGGTTGCTGCCAATTCTGCTAAACTGTGTATTCTTTAACACTGTGAAATAGTATTTGTCTTTGTTTTGTCTTTTGGTTGAAAGTAAATTTGTTCGGTTACTGCCAATTCTGCTAAACTGTGTATTCTTTAACACTGTGAAATAGTATTGTCTTTGTTTTGTCTTTTGGTTGAAAGTAAATTGTGTTCGGTTGCTGCCAATTCTGCTAAACTGTGTATTCTTTAACACTGTGAAATAGTATTTGTCTTTGTTTTGTCTTTTGGTTGAAGTAATGCAATCCATTCAAGTTTCAATTTGCAGAAGAAGAAATAGTTTACTTTCGCAACACGAAACTTAAAATCGCAACGCGAAACCAAAATCGCAACGCGAAATAAAAATCGCAACGACAGAATCGCAACGCGAAACCAAAATCGCAACGACAAGATCGCAACGCGAAACCAAAATCGCATTGCGATTTTCATTTCGCGTTGCGATTCTTTCGTTGCGATTTTCATTTCGCATTGCGATTCTGTCGTTGCGATTTTCATTTCGCGTTGCGATTTTAGTTTCGCGTTGCGATTTTAAGTTTCGTGTTGCGAAAGTAAACTATTTCTTCTTCTGCAAATTGAAACTTGAATGGATTGCATTACTTCAACCAATAGACAAAACAAAGACAAATACTAACATCAGGGTATTAGTTTGAAACATATTTTTCTTTGTTATCTGATGCATTTTGTGAACTATGATAGAATAATGACTTGGGTGAATACAATGCAAGTTTGAAACATATTTGTCTTTGTTTTCACTGTTTAAATATCATGTCTGTTTATTTACTGATTTTGTATTTAATTATTTAGCGGCCCGATAGAGTGGATGCTTTACGTCGGGTTATGCTTGCACGACGGAGTTCACGCATCAGACAGCGTGCACGTGCTATTAAGTCTCCGTACACCCCAATAGTGCGAAGACACCGCAAGAAGAAGCTCGACTCGCCTGTCATCCCTCAAGAGTCCACTCCTATCGTTGAAGAGGCCCCCCTATCATTCCTCGAGAGTCCCCTCCCACCGTTCAAGAGGCCACTGTCATCATTGAAGAGGTCCCTCCCACCATTCAAGAGCCCGATT